AAATCTTCTTTCCAGTGGTGGCTGGTGCTTGGCTACCTTCTTAAAATGAATACAGTATAAGTTAATTTGGGGAGCAACAAGCTGCGAAAAACTGTTTTCCGATGTTAATTCCCTATGTTCGGTTTGAAAGTATTCACCTGGTATGTTATGTTATTCCGCACGAGGTACTGACTCGCTGACCTTGTTCAGTTTTCGCCTTATCTTCCTTATTATTTGTCTTAATATTTTCCCATCAGGTGTATGTTTTCGAATTTCTCTCAACTCAACTCTCAACCCTTCCCTATAAAAATAAATTTTGATCCGTAACCATCTTCATGGTTGCTGAGGGTGTCAAAAGAGCCATGACGGCTTGAAAATTTTTTTTTTCATTTTTTCGTATACCCTAGGATCTGGTTCTCGAAAAGTAAGCATCAGAGTGAAAAATGTTGATTACAAAAACGATATGTCTTAATGAGATCTACAAAAAAGTCTCATCCACTTTTTGCGTCGAGTTCATAATAAAGGCCCCAGAGGGAATTTTCTAAATGCTATACTGTGACCAAAGATGACTATATTAAAAGTAGTCGGATAGTCAAGTTAGGAATTTACCCGACAACTAGTTTAAACTCGAGTTTAAATCAAAATCGAAGCGAGTTTTCACGATTTTTATGAACTTTTCTGAGCAAATGTTGTCACTTCATTACATGCCGCAATTTTGTATTGTTTATGTCTGGACGTTATTGTCAGGAAGTGTGAGCGAAAATTAAACTCAGCATACATAGCTTGACTTCTGAAAAATTGAATTTTTAGATATTAAGAAACATGCCACCTTAACGATGGAATTATTAACTCCGATTCCTAAAATGATCCATGTTGTGGCCTTTCTTTTCGAGTGTACTTGCAGTTAGTTTATCTTTTTTCGTACTTCCGAGACTAAAGTGACAACTTCACTCCATTATGACAAGTACTAAAGTGTCACTTTTTGTCCCGCAGGGATTAAATTTGGACGAAAATCCCGGAAGGATGAAATTACTAACAAGGCAATTTCAGTAGGTTGTTCCACATTTTGTATACCGCACTACTTCTTAAACGCATCGTACTGCTGCTCATATAGTTTTTTGGATTTCAGTGGTATCAATTCTTTACCTAATTTGGCTGCTTTTTATCAATATCAAATACACCTTTGTCACCCACCACCAAAATCATGACACTAGCAATGACAGTTTCCAAATTATTTTTGTTACCATAGCGTAGGGTTTGTCGTACCAACGCAACGTTCCTATGGTAACTTGTAGTTAAGCAGCGATTTTTTGAAAGAACGCGTTCTCTAACTCCACACATATTAAGTGTTTCAGTTTCGGAAGTACGAAAAATATCGTATATACCTTGCGACTGAAGTAGTGGTCTTAATCCCTCAGGTAAATTATGGCCCTCCCTTCGGTCGGGCCATCAACTTTACCTTCGGGATTAAAAGTACTACTTCAGTCCCGCGGTATATAATGTACTATTTTTAAGATACGTCCCTCTTGACTATTCTGTATTATGACAAATGTAATTAATTAGGGTGAATCTATGTGACTTACTGTTATCTTTTGGTGGTAAATTGTGGGTAAGTATATTATGGATGAGTGAGTACCAGTCCAATTATCACATATCAAAATCTGAGGTTTTTGGTGTTTGTGGAACAAAAAACCCTGTTTCCTCTCATGCATAACACGGTGGTATGGTATACTTACCAGCACTTTTTAGAAATAACTAAATCATACTCTTATTTAACCAAGTAGGTTTGTATACAATGTTGCACTTGCATGGGTGATGCTGTTTGAAAGATGCACGTCCACTTTTCTTTCATACCCCCATCAGATTGACACGTCTGCGAGTTCAGACAACAATTTGGAGGATTTCCAAGAATCTGCCAGAGAGATTGTAGCACTACGGTTTGCATAAAGCATAATTAATGTACTCACACCGATTTTAAGATCAGCTCAAGTTATGACTGTGAGAATTCACCAGACCCTTACTCCTTCAGGAGAAAATGTAGAAAATTAGCCGCTATGCTCTATTTTAACATGTTTTTAACTACAAACCCACATTATAGGAAAAAAATTGAAAATTATGCAATTATTTTTAGGGTTCTTGGGCTGGGTAGAAATGTACAAATCTTTACACTGTAACTAGTAATAACACTGGGTGCTCATATTTTGTGGTAAGGGTCGCATCTAGTCCATTCACGAATTTGTTAGAAGTTCATTGTTACAATTTAAATTATGTATCGCACTTGAAATGGTGAATAAATTTTTATTTTTGGACATTAGACTACTATTAGACCATATAATAAAAATCATAACTGAAAACAAAAATATTTGATGCACCACATAAGTTACACCCTTAGCAATAAATAACCGCAAAAAATAGAAAAAATTTAATTATTTCCAAAACGGCGTGGGGTTACATTTTTATTTTTGGACAGTAGACTACTATTACACCATATAATAAAAATCATAACTGAAAACAAAAATATTTGATGCACACACAAATTACACCCCTAGCAATAAATAACCGCAAAAAACCGAAAAAATCAATTATTTCCAAAACGGCGCGGGGTTACATTTTTATTTTTGGACATTAGACTACTATTAGACCATATAATAAAAATCATAACTGAAAACAAAAATATTTGATGCACCACACAAATTACACCCTTAGCAATAATAACCGCAAAAAATAGAAAAAATTTAATTATTTCCAAAACGGCGTGGGGTTACATTTTTATTTTTGGACAGTAGACTACTATTACACCATATAATAAAAATCATAACTGAAAACAAAAATATTTGATGCACCACACAAATTACACCCCTAGCAATAAATAACCGCAAAAAACCGAAAAAATCAATTATTTCCAAAACGGCGCGGGGTTACATTTTTATTTTTGGACATTAGACTACTATTAGACCATATAATAAAAATCATAACTGAAAACAAAAATATTTGATGCACCACACAAATTACACCCCTAGCAATAGATGACCGCAAAAAACAGAAAAAATTAATTATTTCCAAAACGGCGCGGGGTTACATTTTTATTTTTGGGCATTAGACTACTATTAGACCATATAATAAAAATCATAACTGAAAACAAAAATATTTGATGCACCACACAAATTACACCCCTAGCAATAAATAACCGCAAAAAACCGAAAAAATTAATTATTTCCAAAACGGCGCGGGGTTACATTTTGAAATTTTGACAATTATAGTGCTTGCACTTTAAGTTTATTGTACTGTACCTGTACCAACAAAGTTACCCTTATTTTTTAACCCCCTTTCAACCCCTAATATTATTAATAAAAATTTTTTTTATAAAAACTTTTAACTTCATGTGTGCAAGTCCATTTGAGGTGACTTCAAACTTTATTTTATTATTTTATATGAAATAAGGTCTATTGCTGGAATCTATTGCTAACTTGATGTAGGTAACTACGGGCTACGTGAATTGTGATCAAAGATGTCCAAATAGTTATTTATTGATCAATTTCGTTCGAAAAACGTCAAAATGCATTGTATAGATTCTTACTGACCGCGCAAGGATACTGATCTGTCACATGGAAAAAGTCTAGCGATAGCACACCTCATTAGACTTGAATGAAAGTGTAAAGGGTATGTAAACATGTTAATCTATTATAGACAATTTTTGAAAATAAAGCATACACTGTAATAAACTAAACAAATATAGAAAACGAGCTCCTGGGTATGCATGTGCAAAACCAAATTTTAAACCTGATGTTAGTTTTGCTTTTATTTAAAGTGTATATGTATGAAATTTCATTTGAATGCCTCCATAAATAAGAAAGTTGGCACTGCACATGCGCAAAACCAAATTTTGAAACTGGCGTTAAATTTGGTTTTATTCCAAGTGGTTATGTATCAAATTTCATTTAAATCCCTTCATAAATAAAAAAGTTTACAATTCGGTTTATAAATGGTCGAGATGCGAAAAGGGCACTGTGAATGTTGAGCGATTAGGCTCAGTTTTTGGAATTGCGTTTTATATGGCTAAAGCAATACGCATATTGAATTTCATGCAATTCGGTTCATAACTCGCGGAGATGTCAAAAGGGCCTTCCTTATTTTTTGGGCTACATTGCCAATTCACGAACTCCGATCTACAAATTTGATAAAGAATCCATCTATTAAATTTTATCGTAATCGGTCCATTCGTTATCGAGATATCGTGCTAACGGACGGACAGACACCGCAAAATTATAAACTCGCTAGGAGCTCGTTAATAATGTGTAGAAGTGTAATATATTGTTGTTATTTTATTAATGCCTATCGGCCCTCGGGCTTTTTAACTCGTCGCCCTCGAGAATATAAACATCACTAGTATGCCCTTAATACATAAATAACTATTAATCTACTTTATAATCATTACATACCTTTTGAATAGTCTTCAAAAAGACTATTTTGTTCCAATAAATGAAATTAACAGCAAATTGGGATAATGACAGGTTTGAGGTTATAGCAAAGAGTAAGTTATAGGTTAATTCAGATACGTCACCTACAAGTTATACCTACTACATATACCACAGCTGACTCGCTCATAAGCTCGTCCGCCATTTTGGAGCCCACTGACAATTAATAAGGATAAAGATACAAGGTAAATTTCCATTAGAAAAAAGTGCACAACGAAAATCAGATAATCCAGTCAAATGCCGTTAAACCAATTGATAAAAACGCGACATAATAAATGCGACTGGAAAACAAGAGCAATTTAGTGCAAAAAAAACTGTAAAATGATAAATTGCCTGTACGTAAAAATGGGATTGGCTTTGTTCCGTCATCGTCTATCATTAAATGCACACGGAAATTACAACTGAGAATGCCAGCAGTAGGTATTCAAATTAAAGTAGATTATCTCACATACAAACCCGCATTTTAAACAGAAGAAAAGTTAATTAGAGTCCCCCCCCTCCTTCTCGTATTGCTTACGCGTCGCCCGGCGAAAATGAAAGATACAGTAAAAAATTAAACTTTTTTTATTATTTTCGGCAGAAATAAATGGTTAAACAGACATTCAGGGCAATACAATCATGATACTAATCTAGGTACTTCCAAGTAAAAAAGTAATAATAAATGTTGCGTCCCCAAACTAGAATTATTCACGACTCATATTAACAGCGAGACCTCTGGTGGCGGCACATTGTAATTACTATTGGTGGGACAAGACCGCCATTTTGTTTATTTACAATGGCCAAAAGTAATAAATATTGTAGTTTTATGACTGTAAAAGTAAATACACTTGCAAAATAGTATATTGTGCAGAAAGTGCGTGAAGCACATTTCACACACTGTACTTTTTCTACGACCGTAACTTTTTATTGAACCAACATTTTAATCACAGAAACGAGTTGTTAACTTCTACGTTTGATTTTTCCATGACATTGTTTTTAGTAGTAGTGTTACGAATCGTATTTTGAACTGAGAATATTAAAATGGAAACTCCAATTTTCTTGTTCGATAAATTTTCTACATAACTGTCTGCGACGATCTAAAATTTCCATCCTCCGTGCTTTTTTTGAGTATTTAAGTAAATCTCCTCCGCCTTATAAAAGTAGTGTAGCAGCAAACCTCTTGAAAGAGTAACCGGTGTACTCTTTAGACTTCACAAGGTTCTTTGCCAATTTAGTTTAATCCAATATACTTTTATTTTAATTTAAAACACATTTCACAAATAATTTCAACACTAACAATATTCAGAGTAAATAAAAAATTTCTTTTAGCTTGAAGGAGTTGAAAGTTCCCATACCTAATACAACTTGCATTCCCTCTTTGAATAGCGATACTAATCTTCTGTTTTAAGAACAATGTTGAACGACTGTTGTAGGTTTTAAGTTTAATTAACGCTCCAATAGCTTCAATGAATGATATCGCTTCTTCACACCATGGTCCTAGAGTTTCGACAGCAAAGGGAACGAATAAGTAATCATCTGTGACGAGGTCCTAATATTTGTTTTCTTTTAGCAGCTTGTTTTGCAATGGTACCAATGACCTGACAAGTACATTTTCCCTTTTCGAAATTAATAAACGTGTAAACAAATATAAAAAACGAGCTCCTGAGTATGGCTATAGCATGTGCAAATTTTGAACCTGGTGATAGTTTTGCTTTTATTTAAAGTGTTATGTATGAAATATCATTTAATTGCTTCCATAAATAAAAAAGTTGGCACTGTACATCATGCACAAAACCAAATTTGGAAACTGGCGCTACATTTGCTCTTATTCCAAGTGGCTATGTATCAAATTTCATTTAAATCCCTCCATAAATAAGAAAGTTGGCACTGCGCATGCGCAAAACCAAATTTTGAAACTGGCGTTTGATTTTCCTTTATTCCAAGTACATATGTATCAAATTTCATTTAAATACCTTCATAAATAAGAAAGTTCCGACTTCGACTTATAATTGGTCGAGATACTAAGAGGACACTGTGAATGATGATCGATTAGGCTGAACTTTTGGAATTGCGTTTTGTATGGCTAAAGCTATGCGTAATTTTCATGTAATTCGGTTCATAACTAACCCACCAGCCAATCCAAATACTAAAATGACCTAGGCGCAAAATTACAATTAAGTACACATCTTAATATTCATACTTCTTATTCCAGTTCTCATTAGTATTATTTTGATGTCTCCCTGTTGAAGATTTTTTGCAAAATTGTAATGTGTACACTTTAAACTTTTGAAGTAGGTATCGCGCAGGAAGCATTTATTGGTCCTTCATTGGCACACACTATACGTGATTTACTTTTTAATTTGACGGTTGGTAAGATTGAAAACATATGATTTGACTGTTTGGGTCCAGCCGTTCTCGAGTTATAAGTGGTGTAACATCGAGGGGTTAATCACTGTGTGCAATAGGTGGGCGGGTAGTAATGCAATGTTTGTGCAATGTGTGCAATGCGTGCAATATTTGTGCAATGTGTGCAATGTTTATGCAATGCGTGCAATACTTGTGCAATGTGTGCAATACTTGTGCAATGTGTGCAATATTTGTGCAATGCGTGCAATATTTGTGCAATACGTATAATAATACCTCGTAAAATACAATATGAGCTTTACTGCTCGGAGTAGGCGCAATATGCAGCCGCCTCGGCGCCCACAATTAGGAACCTAACCGGTATAAAACGAAGTATGAAACAAATGCAACGATGGTTTTTGTCTTTCGAGTGAGTAATATTTATAACTGCGCTGTGCGGTGTTGAGTGCGAAGTGTTATAGATCGCGGTATACAGTGTGTCCCAGATCGGGTGGGATTGCATGGGTAACTTTGTTATTATTAAGGATAGAGAATTGGTTAAATGGGCAATGTTTTGCAGTTTTAGATGCTTATTTAAAATTTCCTTTGGGAAATTCAAAATGTCGCATAGGTTCGACGTAAATTCAAAAAAACTAAAATTGGTCATTTCCTTGAATGTCTTATATCATCGAAAGTATAAGAGATATAAAAAAAGTTTTTTATTATACCTGAATCACAATCTCCGTTTTAAACACTCAAATGCGTGCGAAAAAGGGCCTTTTTCGTCGACCTCTCGATAACAATATAAATTACTCCTTAGTGACGAGTACAATGATGAAGCTTATTAATCGTTAGCAACCATTAATGGTTAGCAACCAACCATTATACGTTAGCAACCATTAATCGTTAGCAACCACTTATACATAACAACCATTTTATTAAAGGGAAATGACAATTATACAACAATTCACTTTCGGCAACAGCTGAGAACTCCCATCCACCTAACCATTTTAATCTCGGTTTTAATGTAGTGAGATCAGCAGCCAGTACGGTCGCCAAACGATCTCAGCAAAGCATATCCTGTGTATATCTTCTCGGATAAGGTATTGTTAAGGTATTCAGTTACTTTACCTTCAACATTGAGTACGTCGACCACAGGGACGAACATTTCCATATCTTTCACTGTTAATACACGTACTTTAGTACAGTTGCAAAAGAATTAATTACATTCTAATTTCACGTAGGTACCTTTTCAAGGTAAAATGTCAACGTGACATTTTCGGAAATATCTCCTTTCAAATTCATTGTATTCCATCAATTGCCGAACTGATCGAAACCGTTCCAATAAGTTTCTTTTGATTTGAGTGGATATAATGTTAAAATCGTCTCCGCAGCAGAGCAAGCAACATAATCTTCCACTGCGATTATGAGGACTGCCGGTACAGCATAGCAACGACAATCGCTGTAATTTAGTGAAAAATCGTCGGAGCTCATAATTTCGTTTGTAATTTCTTGTAGTTGAATTTAAAATTACCTACCCCAGTGAAGTCGACGAAAAAACGTTGTATGCAATTCATGTATAAATCGGCGATTATTGGTTCGTTCGAATTTATCATCTCACTCACCAATAAAACGCCTCATTTATACACTCATTGCATAAATAACTATTAAAACACACGTGCTTTAAAGTTGCTAAGTAACGATACTTCAAGTATGACTTTTGAAACTGTCATCTGGATGAAATAAAAAATTCTCTTAGGTCGCTTTCTGTAAATGCAGAACATTTCTTTGGCTTTTGTACCTATCCTTTGGTTGAAGCTTTCACACACGCGCGTAATTTAGGGTATGCTTCCAAATCTGTTCCACTTTTTAGTTCCAGCAATAAGTGAAGTTTTGAATGAATGCACCAAAAGATAGAAGATTTAAATACCTTTGACATTTCCTTCATATATGCCAGCATTATGGATGCATTTAAGACTGTTTTCGTAAGTAACTTCCTATTCATCCATGGAAACAACTTTTCATATTCTTTATAATAGGCTTTACTGGAGTTGGATTTTACACCTACCAACGTTTGTTTAGATTTTACAACAATCGATTCAATGGACGGTGTATTATCTTTTTCAACGGAAATCGTTTAATTCACAAAGACGATGATTTTTATAAGCAAACGTCAAGTGACATTTCCATGGCAATCGTGAAATACGAACACCCAGCCCACTTAATTAGACATGTATTCGAGTATACCTAACGTCAATATGACTTCATTGTATTTCCTATTTTTAAATTATACTGCAGGTATAATAAAAAATACTATAAGATACACGTGTATAATTGATCTTTAAAGCACTTGCAACGTTAAAGGCATTCCGCTTTGCGTCGTGCCCTTAAACTCGTTGCGCGTGCTTTAAAGACTTGATTATACACTTGTATCTTAATATACTATTATATAAAAGTTACTGTCTTTGATACGTTTAATTTAGAATTGAGGTAAAAAAAAATTCAAGATGGCTACTTTTGAGGCACATTTAACAACTTCGTAAAGTTAAATAGGCGCCATATGGGATTTTTAGATTACTTGATAGATTTTTTAATTCTCTTTTCAACGAGCCATCATAACATAAGATTGAAAATAAGATACCAGTTATATCAACGGTTTTTATATTTTAATCAAGTAGGCTGTGATGAATTAAAAAAAAACAAAACAAAATCTATTCGAGGCAACAAAACAATGAAAATAATTACATCAGATGTTTAAAAAAATCAGGGACGCACTCATGAGAGGGGGGGGGGGCATTACAACTCCCTCCAAAATTTTACATAAGCATTAGGTCTAGAAAAATTTGATTTTTATAACATCGCCTGAGACGGATACAATCGAGCCTACACTTCCAATTGGAAACTATGTTTTAGTTCAGTTTGCAACAAAGAAAAGCCACAAACATTACATTGGCTTAGTGTTAAGTAAACGACTAAATGATTCCGATAATCGTAATGAGGAAGTATATGAAGTGAAATTTTTTAGAAGACACGGAAATTTTTTTACGTTCCCTGCAACTGACGATGTGGCGGATGTTTCAAACCAAGACATTGTTTTAAAATTAAGTGAACCGTGTATTGACACTCGAATGCGGCACACGTTTTCTGAGGATTTGTCAAAATATAGTGTTTGCTAAAATCGACAAAATAAATGTATATATGTATATTCGTAAATATTACGAAAAGGTGGTTTTCTTGTTTAAATTTCGTTTTTGCGGCCATGCCATGGTGCTTTAAAACATTGCTTGATAGCTTTTAACGAGAACTTTAACCATATTTTAATTTTTAAGGTCCACAGGGACATTAGTTAGGGAGTAGTTGAATATAGTTATGAATATGTTTATCTTCAGAAAGAACATTAATTTGCCTTAAAGTCGACTTTAGCTAAAGGAGACTTTAGCGTAATTATGAAAATGGTCCTAAGACATGCAACTTAAAGGAAGATAAAACACGTAATGTAGGTACCCGGATTACGTGAAATGTCTGCAATATTGTAATAGCACCACAATACATAGTTACGCTTAAGCAGTCAATTATAATTGTGTAATACGCGCAATAGTGGTGCAACGTGTGCAATATTTGTGCAATGGGCGCAATGTTTGTGAAATGTGTGCAATAATGGTGCAATTGTGCAATAATCGTGCAATGTGTGCAATAATCGTGCAATGTGTGCAATAATCGCGCAATGTGTGCAATAATCGTGCAATGTCTGCAATAATCGTGCAATGTGTGCAATATTGCACAGGTGGAACCTATGTTTTTGGAGTGATCAACCCCTCGTGTAACATATGCGACTATGCTTATACAGTGATATTTATTTAGAAGTAGACATAGGGATTTATGCTCGGATTTATGTATATTGTTTTTCCCTATGTCTACTTTCCAAACACTAAATCTCTTCTCAAGGGCGCCTAATTTTATGCATCCAGAATAACTTTTTAAAACAAATAAACATCTGGTTGTCATATTAATTAGTTTGAATCGAGGTTTGAATGTTGTTCCTTTGACTTAAAAGAAGTTTCCTAAGCTCCTTAAACTGTGACTGGCACTATAAGTACCAATCGACAATAACAACTTTTTCTTCCGACGAATACATCGCACACAAACGAAAATGAAAATAGGGAAAGCGGGAAGCAAAAGCAACAATATTCAAATTAATTAATGTGATAGCCAGATCTTTATTTTTTTGTTTTAAGAAGTTATTTTGGTTACATACTTCAGAAGAACTTTCATTTAAAAGTAGACATAGGGAAAATAATACACATACCTAAATCACTATGTCTACTTCTTAATAAATAGCACTCTACATAAAAATTAATGCATTTTTGTATACCTAATACAATTGAAATTTACCCTCTCATCATACCAACTGTAGGATTTAAAATGTGCCCAGTGTAATTGTGCACTAATAATAAATTCAGTTTAAAAATCATCAAACTCGAAAGATTTCATGTGCCCAATACAACTATATGTGACCAATATTAAAATTTAAAAGAATATGACCTCTTTTATTAAGCAACCAACAAATAGATCCAGTTTAATAGATATAGGCTAAAATATAAATGTCAAAAGATATAAAATGTGTCCAGTGTGATTATGCAACCAACAATACGTCCGCCTTTAAAAAACACAGCAAATCACAAGGACTCCAAGGTCCACTGTGATTATTCTACAAATCGTACTCGTCGTACGGTTACCCTCAGACGACATTTCTTAACGCATCATTGTTTCAATGGTATTAAATATACGCTTGTCTAACCCATAAAACCACTTACTTGTAAGATTCATTTAAGAGGAAGGTCTCCTCGTGCTGTCTCTGCTTAAGCATCTCGATCATGTCCTCGTAGAGCTTCGCATTCTGTTCGGAATTTGCTTTTCTCAACTGATGTATTTCATCTTCTTGTTCGGCACTCACGTTTCCAATTATTGTCGGTTGGGATAGCAACAACTGGATGTTGTTGTTAATTCTCTCCTGCTGCATTCGCATATTATTCTCCATCACTTGTTGTTTGGCAAATTGCTTTCCGAGCATTTCACTAAATTGCTGTTCTTGTTTCATTAAAATATCCAACTGCTTCTTTTGGGTTTGAGCAAAGTATTCCTCGCACTTTTTCAGTTGTAATGCCATTAATACTTGTGACTCTTGCTGTTGGAGAGCCGAAGAGGTGTTCTGGTAACCGAGGTGGGCAGAAAGCAATCCTTGCTGTGCCAGTAAAGTAGAAAAGGTCGAGCCACCAGGAAGGTCCTGAGTTTCTTCGGGCCGGTCAACGCTGGGTGTTTCTGTTTTTTGTTCGGTCATTTGTGGAGTGCTCTTCGGGCGGGATGTGACTGTATCGGATTTGTGAACTTTAACAGGTGACCCTTCGAGCCAATCGGGAAAACTTTGTATGTTAGGTGCGCTGTGTGGCTTGGTCGGTTGAATTTTTACTTCAGACTTTGTAGCTTTCTCCTGCTTTGGCATAATTGAGTTCTCCCGATCAGTGTCCGTTGCAAATAAACCTAAGGGGTCGAGAGATTTTGTACCTCCAGAGGTATGACGAGAACGGCGGCCTTCACGTGATGCACTACCAGCATCGTACCCGGTACTTGGTGGCTTTGGGACTGCTTTTACAGGACTAGAGTCTGTTTTTGCCGGAGTCTTAAGTAAATCTAAGGAGTCTTTCTGGGGAGATTTCGGTGGCCCAAATATGCTTTCCATTAAGGAACTTTTCTTCGTAGCACTAGTGGGATTCTTGTCTTTAGATACATCGACAACTTGTTTCTTATCGATTCCCAAATCATTCAGTATATCGTCTTCATCGTCGAAACTAATTTTCTTCTTTTCCCTCGAAGTTTTAGGATGGTCACTTTCGTCGGCTTCGAGCCCCAGCCAATCGGCCTTTTTGTTCTTTGGTTTATCATCGTTTAACCCAAAGAGATTCGTAAGTACTTTTTTATCGGGAGTTTTCGTAACACTTGACATTGGTTTTGGTTCTTCGAAAAAGCTATCGTTACTATCATCCGAATTCAAGTCGCCCAATAAATCCTGCTCGGAAAAATGTGCCATTTTTTTAAGAGTTTAGTGTGCACATGCACGCTGCTGTTCCTTAGCAACCACAACAGTTTTAAATAAATGCAGAGAGGAATGCTCTGAAATTATGCACAAGAAAATCAAGTTTACTATGGCCGCGTTCGTTTATAACATATACAGGGTGTCCCTAAAAGGTCTGTACAACGCGCTACCAGGGGTTCTTGGTATCAAAATAGGACGATTTAACCCAACTTACCTCTATCCAAAAGTGCCTCGGTAAGGCGCTATCTACCGCCAAAGATTTAAAAAAAAATATCGTTATTTTTATTTTATCGGAAAATGGTTTTGCCGATTAAAATGAAATTCGGGATGTGAATGTCTAATGTAAAAAGGGTCTTTGTGATATCATCGTTTTGATTGTAGTTGCTATGTAGGTGGTAAAATACTGACCATCCACATCTGAAGAGGTCTAAAACTTTTTAACTAACTACTATTTTGACGGTTCTGAATTTTTAGACACTGATAGACAGTTTACTTGCAAGCATTTTTTGTCTCTTGATGAATATCGCTATCTGTGATGGTTTACGAAAAAAAAAAATTTAGGCATGATGAAGGGACACTAAAATAATATAATAGAGGTAAGTTGGGTTAAATCGTCCTATTTTGATACCAAGAACCCATGGTAGCGCGTTGTACAGACCTTTTAGGGACACCCTGTATATGGTTTATAATACGAGATCATACAGGGTGGCCCACTAAAAACAGTGACAGTTGCGCCAGAAAAGTTGAAAAACTTTAACTTTAGTTCTGAAGAGGAGCATCTAAATTAAATAATACTATTTACGTAACTTCAACCCTGAAAAGGGGGTGATTTACACCACAAAACGGAAAGGGGTGGTAAACAGATAGTTCAAAAGAATTATTCATTCTGTTTTCAGCACTGAGAGATTATACCCTATATATACAACTGACGACAATGCCCACATTTTTGAGAGCTGACAACTACGTAACAATTTTTAGAAGGGGAAAGCTCTCGGTGCCATCTGGAGAGCACCAACGCGGACGTTTGGCATCATGTTTTTAATTGCCATCGCCCATCACGAAAGCATCGCTTCGTAAATGTTTGTGGTTATTTTGTATTATTTAGTGCAGGTAGTAATCTTTGCATTTCTTTATAATCTATTTGGGTTTTATACGTCTTTCGCTATAAAAAGCGGTGCACGTCATTGATTTATGAATCAATTTCAGACAAGTTTTCTATAGATTTCGCACACTACTTGTTTTTTTTGTACATGTTGCAGTGTTGCAGCATATGTCTGAAATTGATACACAAATCAATGACGTGCAACGGTTTTTATAGCGAAAGACGTATATATGCCGTATTCTATACTTTTTGTGAGTTTCAATCTTTCCTTTTGAAGTTGACTTGATTAGACCTTGAAATCGCATTCATTTTTGGTGTAATGTTTGCTAAATTTTTGTTTATTTCGATTACACGGTCTCGGCCCCAACTTAAATGTATATTTTTGATCATTCAACATGTGGAAATTATCTAATTGTTTGATGTGTGTCACTGACTCGTTGTTTGTAAACTGACATTTTCGCCTTAAAGAGACGTTCACGGGGGGTGGCAAAACCTATAACCAAATGAGTTACGACACTCAATACCGATGCTGACCACGAAAATCAACTGTAGGCTCGAAACTCCGAACTAGGGGCGAGTTACATATCACGGGGGCGAGATTCTGCTTCGGTTTCGAATCTATGTGCGATATACAGGGTGTCTTAAATTGAGTAGGATAGCATGGCTATCTTCGTTATTTTTATACTTACAGATTCGGTTAAATTGGCAAAGTTGTGTAGTTTTTGATGCTGATGGATATTCCGATGAGATATTTGGAAAAAATAATTCGTTTCGTAGATAATTGGAAAAAAGTGAAAATCGACATTTTTAAAAAGTTAAAATATTTTAGTAACAAAGAGCTATCAAAAAAAGTTTTAAATAAAAGTTCGATGGGATAAATGCAATGAATGTAGGAAAACAATTTTTTTTGGCGGTTTCCGAGATATTGACATCAACTTCCTTATTTTAAATAGATGGCATATTGGATTTTTACGTCACTCGATAGAAAAAAAAATTACAAAATCAGTGATACTAAACATTTAGTATTTTATTTGGAAATCAACTTTACATTTTTGCCTCGAAGTTTACAATGTATTTCTTATGGCTGATTATGATTGAAACCAAATTCGTTCGTTTATTGTCTCGCATAGTCACCATCGACACAGCCATAGAATTGTTGTCATAAGAAATACATTGTAAACTTCGAGGCAAAAATGCAAGACCCATCCATTAGAATCAAAAACTACACAACTTTGTCAATGTAACCGAATCTGTAAGTATAATAATAACAAAGATAGCCACGTGATCATACTCAATTTAAAACACCCTGTTAGTCAGTTCCGATTCACTGATTTCCATATATTTTGTCGCGCCATTGAATTTGCCCTACAAGGCCATGTAATTTTCCATGCTCTTAACAGAAAGATTTTATTGCACCAAAAGGTCACATCCTGTGTATTTCTCCCATTTACCCCTATTTCAGGTACTGTAGAAATCCCATGCATTACCACTGTGCCGGTTGCCCTTAATAACCCTATTTCGAGAGCATTTAGTGCTTTATTCTCCCGTGCTTTCTTGCGAGTTTGTGATTTCCACTCAGTGAACACCTGTAGTCAGAAAATATAATTAACAATTGTATATTAAAGTAGGTAAAATACCTTCTTCCATCCTTCAACTTCTCTAGTGGGTCCATCTCCACATGCATTTAGCTCCTCTGCTAGTTGCAGCCACAAAGAATTAAGATCCTCTGGGCCCAAGTTAGGAGAAAGTTTTCCAGTTCTTAACAAACAATTTTTTTCTAAGTACTCTACATAAATAGTATATTGCGATTTCGATGTCCTTGCTTTTTTTAAAAACATTGTCAACTACACGTAACACCCATATATATGTATATATGGTAACACCACGTCTTAAATCAACTTGTATTTATACCAAACAGCTGATTAATTGTACTTACGCACGCGCACATTATTCACATTTGTGGGTTGGCTACACTGTGTTACAACTTCATGGTTGCTAACTTTTCAATCTTGTAAAACGTAAACATACGATTACAAGGTGAGCACGAGAATACAAATAATTTTCAATATTGTAAAAGTCACTTGAAAAGTTTCTTGAAACGGTTTCAATATTGAAAAGTTTTCAAGATACACGAGAATAGGACTGAATGGTTCAAAGATCATAGAGTATGATCTTTTAATGGTTTTAAAGCCGCTTTACATTAGGCAATTTTACTGCAATGCAAGGCTTGTGCTATGCAATCTAAAATTGCCTTGCATTGCTTTTACGGTTTTACATTTATGCAATTGTGTTGCAACTTTTGTGCAAGTTTAGAAAAGTGTTGCAGTACTGACAACATATTTTTCAAAAATTGAAACTTTTCAGTTTGTTTACACAGAAGGTTATTCATGAAACTTAATAAAATTGACCATTATAGGTATGAGCAAACAAAAGGAAATTAAGCTGGCTACAGCTTGTTATGTGGTGGCGCTTGCTATTAAAAAAACACACACAAAATAACACACGCGAAACCAAATAAATTGTGGTATTGACAAAATTACTAGAAAAGTTACTAGAACTTGCGCCAAACTTGCAAGTGAAATAGAACTTTCTCTATTTATTTTCTTGCACCTGAATTGCGTATGAACATGCGCAGTAACGTATCTCTAACTTGCATTGCTCTTGCATTGCACGAAAATTGCCTAATGTAAAAGCCGCTTTACACATTTCGCGTTTTGTTTGTAAAACATTTAGTTTAATAGCTGGGGGTGCGGGAATGAATTAAAATACGGTACACCTTCCATGAAACTTCCTCTTAAGAACTATCTACATGGAGTTACCCTTTTTTAAATTTTATCAAAAAATTATAATCGGTGGTTTGTTTTGAAATGAACATCCTGTATGTTCTCTTTTGCGTTGGCACATATGGTTGGCAACACTGTAAAATGGTTTGTTGATTTTATAAACTAACCCAACTTTTGTCATGTCGTGTTGTTTGTATGGTCCTGTATTCCTTAGAGACTTAAATTGTAAATTAAAACATGGATTCATTGATTACGAGCAACAGTGAGCAATACACAAATAATGAATTGTAAGTTGATAGATTAGGATGGAAAGAAATTGTTTTCGTTAATAACTCTAATAGACATGAAGAAGGAGCACCTTTAAAAAGCCAGTTCGCCGACTTGTACAAGGCAAACACCTTAAAAACCCTTAGCCAGTCCCAACGTAGAGAAAACCAATTACAGTTGTTAAAAGAGTACGTATAACTAACCCTGCGATTTATCCGTTTAGTGTTTACTTCCAGAAGGCGTCATCAATCTGTTGATGAAAAACGAAACCTTACAGATTTGTTTCACGATTTCAAGGAAAATGACCACGAAGAGCAAATGGATGTCGTTATTCCTTGCAAAACAAACTCTAAGATGCGTTACCGACACTTAAAGAATAAGTTGATGTTATCTGAATGGTTCTCAGACATTCCGAACGACTTGGAACTAAATTGGCTATTTAAACTGTGTCCAAGTGGGGTACGGAATTTGGTTATTGCTTACAGGGTAAGATGTAGAAATGACGGCTGAAAACTATTGTTACATTTTATTGTAGCACAAAACTATGGCTTTCAGTATTGAGGGGAAACGACAGGCAAAGTTTATATCACATTTGCCTGGAGGCGGCCCGCATAGTACTTTTAACAAATTTACAGTTCTTGATTGTGTATATAATGTTGCACAGAAGTGTTATTATGTTCTCGATGTTCTAGCTTGGAATGGTTTCGTGTTAAAAAATAGTAATGTAAGTAACTTTCTATGTACCTTTCTTTCCTGGTTAATACTTAAACTAGTGGCAGTATCCTACATGCACACCTTGTTCCCAATAACATTGATTAGTTTTGTTTACTGTAAATTCTAATAGGGAGGGAACAGCTCTTGTGTGCTGTAACCATTAAGTTAGAAAACTAATGGAGGGAATCACATGCTTGGCCAGACGTAGACCACGGGAACCAAAAGCGGCCTCTGGCTGTGATTAAATTACCACACCATTTCCGTTATCATTAACGTCTCACTTCAGTGGCGTAGAGATATAATTTTCTTTCCACTAATAGCAATAATAACAAAAAAAAACGTATAGAAGGAGTAAAATACATGCTCGTGGTAAAGTAAACAAAATAGACAAGGATGGGAAAGTATGCAGATTTAATATAATCATTGATTACAAATCTAAATATACATCGATGTGTTCCAGTAGCATAATTAAGGTCACTACAACTTGACAACTCCCATTAAACTCACTGTGTTGATCAATAGCTACAATTGACTGATTGGTCTCAGGTTCATTACAACGGCAGAAAGATTCAATCATAATTTATTGTTTATTGGTCTCAAAATGTATCCGCACTTGTGAAAAAACTTACACCTGATATCCATATTATAAAACTCACACGTTTATTGAGCTGTAAAAACAAGTTTTGGTAGTACTTTTATGCCGCAAATTTCTGAACATTGACCAAAAAAAATTCCTGGCTGATTTATGAAAAATCTTGTTTGATTTAAACGTCCGGGGGTTGCATCAACTTTAACGCCAGCTGACGGAATTGTCCAAGAATGAATTACATCTGTTGATGAAATAATTATTCGAATAATTGAATTATAGGGAAGAATTAATTGGTTATCTACATCTAGTAATCGAAAAGAATGAGGGCTTAGATTAGGAAAGAGTATGGATACCGCGTATGCCGTACAGCCCGTGTATGAATCGTGTTACCTTTTTAAACAAGTCCGCCATTTTATATGTGGCACATATGTCATTAAAGTAACATCGTTTTTTATGAGTTTTTGCGCTTAAATTGAGAGGAAATACACAAACAACAACTTAAAATCATGGTGAAATGTGCATATTGTGGATGCAAAAGCCGGAGTGAGAAGGAGGAACCGGGAATTTCATTTCAAACGTAAATATTGAAAATGTGCCTAATGCCGTTACCACGTATTTTCCTATTTTTCCTCATAAAGCTTTTTCTTTGAATATTCTTTTTTTAATATGTTAAAATCCATAGCTTAATGAGCGAGTTGACTTAATTTCTTACAACAGAACCAATCCCATGCATTCAAAATTTGATAACAAACTTCTTCAAGGATGGAATTATTCAATAAACTCCATAGGCGTAGTCATTAGCACTCCGCGTTTTTCAAAGAGAAAATTGGTACGGAAACGGCTTTACGTGAAAAATCAAACAGAAAGTAATGAAGATTCTTATTTTATCACAATCTTTAGCTGGAGGGACAGTTAGTTTTGAAGGCATTTCCGAAAAAAGATGAGAGGAAGTTTCGTTTATACCCGTGTCTGATTAATAAATAGCGCAACGCACGAATTTCATTCGTATGTTCAACTTCAACGTGATTTATTAGCTATAATAGGTGCTTCTGCCACTATTCGCATTTACGGATGCTACGACACTGGCCAATGTCAATATGTGGCAGCTGGTAACACTACCGCTAGTGAATTATGCGTCCATATTCTTTCCTTGTCTAAGAATGAGGGCTTTGTTCATTAATTGGGGTTATGTATGTGTACCTACTGCATATTTGATGAACATTTTCTGGTGCAATCTTTGGTCGAAATCACAGTCAATGAAGCGTTGTGAGCACAAAAGCAAATTTCGAGAGCTGTTCTTGAGATATATTTACAAAAGGTAACCATTTTGCTAGAAGTACTGGTTCGTTTGGAAAACTAAGAAACATAAACTAGGTACCTAAGTACAACCTCGCCTACAACATAATAAATGACATGTCTTACCGATGAAAGGAAATGTCCTGTTTCTTCCCTTTATGAATTTTGTATAATACGCAGCTAATCATTCTCAATTCACAAAATTGCGTGTGATAAAAACACTATGCGGCAGTTAGTTATTTATATAAACCAGAGCACAAACCGATCCGAAATTATTAGGTACTTTAAAATGGCAAATTTAATAAAATTTGAATTTGGTGGAAAACTGACAGTGACAGGACCCGCGTTTCCATATGTCAAATAATGTCCGCCAAAATGTACCTTCACGGGAACCTATCCACGCGAGCGGCCTCTGTCTGTGGCAACTTCCGTCTACAAAAATTCTTACCCCCTCTACCATTATATTCCCTCCATTAGTTTTCTAACTCAATGGCTGCAGAGACTTTGGCTGTAACTGGAAAATTATGCAGTAAATCATGTTCTTTTTGGAAAGAGCATGAGCATGACAATTAAATTTTTTTTGGAAAAGTAGGTGTAAATTGTGTACAGTTTCTTAATTTTCCTGTGGATAAAATAGTTTTTCCAATGGGGACAGAGTTGGCTAGAAATAAGCTGCTTCTTGGCACTAGTCATAATGTGTGATATTATATGTGTATTATTTGTATGATAAATATTATAATAAACTGCAATTGTAATTTTTAGACAGAATTGAGATTCTATTGGATAAAATCAAAGTTAAATGAAACACCTGAATTAAAAGAAGCGACACGGGGAAATCCCTTTACATTTGTCGAAGTTAATTTCCTTCCTGCAGAGTTGCCACTACTTGAAGAGAAGCTTTCGCAAGTACATGATGATGAACAAGTTTCTCTCGATGGGATCATATTTTATCACAGAGAAGTTACATATATCGAGAACAGAACACCTCTTGTCGGCTGGTTGAAACCTTATATGGTTCCTGAAATGCTCCACATACCTGTTCATCCCAGTTTTATGAAACACAAACCCAGAGACTACATCTGTTTAGCGCATTATTTGCAAGAGAAACACGCAAAGAAAAAACGTCCTAAGTCTTCAGAGCAGGTATGGTTTAGTACACTTTGGGAGTTAATCTAATCGAAGTCTGTTTTAGATGGAGCGTTAATTGTGCACCTCCGATTTTAAAATGTTGTGTAAATGTCGATTAATTTTATTATTAAAATAAAATGCAGTTTAACTGCTAATAGCTATTTATTGGTCTTATCTGGAAGATCACATCGAAAAATTGAACGGAGAAAATGTTTCAAAAAATACTTCTCTTTTCTATTCTTAACGCTACCTCTAGTCATCTAGGAATGTAAATCTGCCGATAACAATTTTGAACAAATATTTTATAAACCAAAACTTAAACAATGTCATTTTGTTAAATAAGAGTATTAAATAAGATTCTGTATATTATAGTACAACGACGCAAATTACATATGGCGAGTGTTCCCCATGATAATCCCGGATTGGGTGGCGCCCTTATTGCTACCCATTTGTAATCCAATGATGGTCTGGCCTGCTTTAAGTTTCTCCTCCGAGAAGTGACGTTCGTTCTTGTCAGCTTCTTTAGGTCCTATGCTAGGTTTTCCGTAATTACCGGCCTAAAATGAAATAAAAACAATAAAAAAATATAGCAAACTTGCTGGTACCTTGCGCCCAAGAGACTGTAGACAAATGACGACAGAATTAAGGTTTTGTCTTTCCCATAGATCGACAGTTTGGAAGGTTTCTTGAGCAGGTACACCGAGATCTTTTACAGCTTCAAGGAAGGCGTTTATGTTTTCCATACATTTAAAAGCCATCTGACTGTTGTTTACTTTTTTTACTACGCCCGGTTTGAGGTTATTTACCAGTCTGAAAAGGTCAATCAAGAAATTTTTGTTCTTGTCAGTAATAGAGATTTTACCTGCACAATACTTGGCCATCTCTTAAAACTTCGTAAAAATTGTCCATATCGCCGGAGACGTCGAATTCTTCGCCGAGGATGATTTTGACCCATTCTAAACTCTCTTGAGCAAGTTCATCACTATATTTGGCGTTGATCTGAAAGAAAAGTTAATTATTGTAACTTGCAAGATCAGAGGAGGTATAATTTTAAATTTAAGAGTTTTGGATGTTTGTTATAAGTATCATTTGCATAAAATGTCTTTGTTTAATGATGAGTTGTGATACAAACTTTAGTTTTATTTGTTTCCCACTGGAGGATAGCGACCCTGTTCCACCAAAGTTAAAGATTTACCATGAAAGCCTTGAGCCAAATATTTAGTTGAACTTATTTGACAGGTGCAAATTTATTTGTAATTTAACAATGAACTACTTATTTTTGTTGGTGTTTGTAATGACGGATCTTTTTTTTCTTCTAAAAGTGAACTAATGGCCGTTTGCAACGACAAATTTAAGCGGAGCTTAGCTTAAAATCCATGGCAACGATTATTGAGACAATGGTTGTCTTGGATTTTAAGGTACGCTTAAGCTAAGCTCCGCTTAAATTTGTCGGTGCAAAGGGGCACGTATGAAAAACTGGCTATATTTTTTACATACTTATAATCAGCCCTGTGATGTGTCAAACTTAACGTGCATGTTATCTGCCTGCCAAATAAACGTTACTTTGCGTTATTTATTACCGTTTGTACCGACAAATTTAAGAGGAGCTTAGCTTAAGATCCATGGATAACATTGTCTCAATAATCGTTGTTATGGATTTTAAGCTAAGCTCCACTTAAATTGGTCGTGCAAACGGCCATTAGTATACGAAAAATAACGTTTTCTATAGATAACCTTTAATGATACATCACAGGGGCGGGCTAATTGTAAAGCTGCGGTTAGTGTCGGCTTGTTGAAACACACTGTATATTCCATACTACCAAAACGGTTTTATATGATACATATCTCTTTCTAATAAAATAAAAAAATACTTGGTATGGGTGGACCAGAAATTAAAATTTATTTCATGTTTGTATTCTCGTTATTAAGGCATGAAATGTCCATAAGGGCTATTAAAACGGAAAAAAACCAAAAATATTCGCCTCTTGCTCACAAGCGGCTTAGGACTGGGATTGCCTGAAAAGAGAAGTACCCATAGTAAAGGACAAAGTTTTTTTCATTAGAATGTGCTGGTACCTAATAATGAATAGCGTAACTACATCAGTTTTCTATACAAATATTTAAATCATTATACTCTCTTAAGTGGGCCCCAAACAACACAGAGGGAGCTTTAAAAAAAATGCAATTTGATTTGCATAACCACACGACAAGAAAATACAAAACACAAACGCAAGGTCGTTCACGGCTCCTTACAGACTGCTAGGTTAACAAAATTATAATTAGCGCTCTACCACACATAACTTGAGGAGAATAATGAATCGCTTGTAACGTAACGTATGAAGTAAAAATCGCGTAATTATTGGCATGGGGGACTTTCAAAATTAAGATCGTAAAATTGGTTCACAAGTGGCGACAGGGGCTTTTTGTTTGGAAGGGCCCTCAGTAAAATTCTTGATTTCTTCACTTAACGGTAAAACGCCAACATTTTAAAGAAAACACCTTTGGAAATTCAATTCTTTTTCATTGTTGAATAAAGAGGTTTTTATTCAATGTCATTACGAAGTGTGTTATACTTATAACGATCCTAGTGCCTATTCAAATAACAGGTAACGAAGACTTTGTAACTAACGAAATGTTATTACAGTAGAGACGCGTTTTGACTTTTAGGACTTGGAAAAAGTTCAACCATACTTTCGTTTTTTTTTGTATTTTTCTCTGAAACGGTAGGGAAATTTCGAATTAGAACAAGCAAAAGCTTTTATGGAGAATGCATTTTTGTCAAAAAGTATAGTAAAAGTTTTTCTTCTTGTAAAGGTCAATCCGGGGACATACAATACGGTATACCGATTTTTTTTTAATTTTTTAGCCGTTTATACCTAAATATACATTTGTTCCCCATGTCTTACATTCGAGGAGTCTTTTGTAAATTAGTAATATACAGGCTGATTCAAATTGCCCACAGCGGCAAAATTGTAAGGGCGGCAAATTTGGAGGAAAACAGAAAAATTAAAATGCGTTCAAATTTTTTAGATAAACGGTGAATCGGTAAATGAAATGAAGCAAAAATGAAATCTGTTAGTACATTCATTGCATTGCAAATATAGCCAATGAATGCCTTACTTTTCCCACCTTGTAATAAATAATAATGGTGATATAGTGATATGTCAAGGGCGGCAAAAAATGTTTGCCCACAGCGGCAGAAACCCTAAATCCGGCACTGCACCATGGGTATCTCGGGAACTGTAAGAGGAAGTGATAATAGATGGCGCTACCACAAAACAAAATGGGCGGTGTAAACGGGGTTAAATTGTGTTTTGTATGTATCGTGCATACGTATTACCATTGAGTATTACTTTGTTTTGCCGTGTTTTAATTGCAATGATTACTTTGGCGGATCTATTAGTGTATTTAGACGGGGCACAAAGACCACTAATTGAAGGCGAGTGCCTTGTTAAAGCAGGGCATATTATTTTATGTGGCACTACCAGCGAAAACGAAAGTGAGGTTATTGCACTGTGTTTACAAACGTCGAATTTAACAGGTGTCCCTCACTCTGTACGTATTGTTTTAAATCCAAGTAAGTATTTAATTGTGATTCACTTTTCATAATATACCTATATAACATACAGGTGGACCTAAAGATTGGCAGTGTTTTTTTATTCCGTTTAGGTTAGTTACATATTTCTCCGCCACGTGTCGCGTCGATCTCTCCCCTTCTCGAATAGGTAGGTGGTAAATTTGGCAAAGTTGTGTATTTTGATGCTTAACAAAAATAGTTTTGAAACTGAACATTCTGACTACTTTCGGAGATATCCGGAAAAAACGAGATTTTGAAAATCATTTTTGTTTTTTACTGAAGTTAATAGTTGTTTACAAAGATATTTAATAATAAATGACACACTATTATGGCCACTTTTTTCCCTCTACAAGATGCTACTTTTAAATTTGAAGTTTGACGTTTCGTCTCCGGTTAACTATTAGTGATAGAACGATATCACTTTTTTTTGCCGATACGATATATCGGCTGATACCGATATTTACGTGCCGATGTATCGTATCGTATCGTATCGGCAAACAATAGATGGCGTTACTATTTAGATTTGCAGTAGCTGAAGTGGATCCAGAATCTTTGGAAGATGAAGATGATAAAATTCCCTTAAGCCATTTACAAAATAAACAAAATACGTTTTGGGGAACTTTTGAGATCATTACCTCTACTTCAGCTTCCGAAACCAGTACTACAAAAAAGCAAGGTTGGGAAAATGAAATAATATTATATTTGGCATCTTCAACTATTAAAAGATAAATCCCCTTTTGAGTGGTGGGAGGCAGAAAAAAACAAATTGCCTATTCTGTACAACGCAGCTTCAGTCTACCTTTCAGCACCCGCTGCCAGTGTGTCAAGTGAACAACTTTTTAGTGAATTGGGTAATATTTACGAGCCTAAAAGAAATAGACTAAATGCAGATAGGGCTGAAATGTTAGTGTTTTTGCATCATAATATCAAAAAGTTAAATTTTAAGTATTAAGTATATGTATGTATATACTGTATTTAGAACCTGCTATATTAGGTATATTTTTTGTTGTTTTTTTTTAACTTTTTTAGTAAAAATGTTAACTTTAGAATAAAACATTTTATTTTCTTTAATAAAGTATTTCATTTATGCACTGAAGAGTTAAAACAGCTCAAAAAATTGTTTGCCGATATATCGGCGCAATTACCTTGCCGATACGATACGATACCGATAATTGGCAACAATTGCCGATATACCGATATCAATATCGGTATCGTTCTACCACTATTAACTATCATCAACTTTGTTTCTTATGGAAGTAATTTTTACTTTTTGTGTCATTTGATAGAGAATTTTTTTTGATTTCAAAAATGTACACAACAATTTTTTTAATGCTTGTAAAATATCTTTTTTTGCCTTTGTCTTAAGTAACGTACGTAAGTAGTATCTTGCGTTTTTACGAATTAACGTTATTTCTTATTAAAAATAGATGATGTTACCATCAAGGGTAACTTTGTCAAATGTAAACTACCTCTACCTATCTCTTACAGTTTCCGAGATCCCCATGGTGGTCTTTGAATTTGAATCACCCTGTATAGGTCAATTATTACACATTACACTAAACTAATACTAATATGTAATAGGTACTATCATTGAATAAAGAGCTTTATTCATGGAACTATTGAAGTTCAAAAAATTTAATTTGCAACAAGGTATGGATTATAAATTACGGTATTTTAATCTGCAATCAGCAAAGATAAAGAATAGGGAAGACGGTCAAACAAATCGCATTACAAATAAACACCCACACAAGGTCGCATCTTGCCAGACATCAACAACAATATACAACAGCCCTTTGTTCTAAAAATTACGTAAAATTTTGATATTTGTTGTAAAGGAATGTTACCTATCCCCATTTCTATTATTTATTTCATAAAACGATAGGTAGAGGAGGTACCTTTTGCAATGAATAGGAAAGAGAAACCAAATAAATTTCCAAGCAAGTAGTTGACAAAATAATAATATACCAGTGAACGATCTTTTTCTTGCTGTCAGCAAATTCTATTACACGCACGCTCTGTTCAACCTTGAAAGAGAATCGCTAAATGATTTAACATAGGCAACTTACATAGCCTGCTAGTTTTTTTTTGCTCGTAAATTTTTGGTCTTTTATTATCCCCATTACACAGTACTAGTACTAGCCTAGTTATAAAGTAAGAGCAACTCCATCGCAAGATAAAAGCGCTTACCTATTTCATATCTTTATCGTATTTTTTACTGATTTCATAAAACTCTTGGTGGCACCCTCTGTGAGAAAGAAGCTACACTGTTGACCGCGATATTAGTCACAGCAAAGATCATACTACACTAGATAGCCAGCGTATATGCAAGAGTTGTTTCGCGTTTAAGTAGTTCCATAAAAATATTTATAGGGGGCCTTCGAAGTTAAGAACGTAACTGATTCATCCGAAGCCGTCTTCGTAC